GAACGTAGATTAATCCACTGTCATTGAAAATAACAATAAACAACCAGAACACTGTTAAAATCGCATTTAATCGCGGAATACCACTACTTTTTCGACCGGTGGCGCCATCCGTGGCGAATCGCTGAAACTCCTAGCCATATAATTGGTTAGCAGTTTCACCGATTCGCCACGAATGGCGCCACCGGTCGAAAAATAGTGGTATTCTGCAATTAAATGCGATTTTTACAGTGTTCTGGTTGTTTATTCTTATTTTCAATGACAGGAGATTAATCCACGTTCTTTCAGCTTCAAACTGAATGCTTGGTCAAGACGTAATCTGTCCATATAACGTTGGAAGAGCTATTCAAAGTGAACTAACCGGGGTACGCATGAGGAGATACAGTGTCAACCGTTGCAAACAAACGTGTTTTTAACAATGTTCTTGTAATTAGTGGCTTCCAACCGTTAGAGAATAGTAATCTACGTTCTTTAAACGTTGTGTCTAATGCAAAATGAAGAAGAATCATGCCCATTTAGCGGTGTAAATGCGATCGTAATATTTTGCAATGACGGTAGTCGCCCCATAAGAGGATACGGTAATACAGGCATAATTAATTTTACTAATTCAGGGTTTCTACAGTATTGGGGCTAATTTGACTGTAACACTTAAAAAAGTTTTGAAGTTCCATTTATATCATTGTCCTGTGAAAATGTTCATACTTCCAGCAGCATTCATATTACAATCAAAGAATTTACAGAATAAGAAAAAGGAATTTAAAGTAATTTTCAGTAGTTCCATACATCTTTATCTCGAATAATTTTCTAAAACATTCAAAGTACTAGACATTTTTACACTTTGAATCTCATATCGATTTCTAAAATAATCCTAATTCGATGTAATATAGAACGTAGTTTCATGAGATATATTCGAAGTTCGCAGCCATTGGCTCGATATTGTCTTCAGTTTACAGTATTTTACCGATGACAATACCGATTGCCCAGGCCTCACCACGAGGAGGTTGCTGCGAGTGGAGGCCCAAGGCAAGTAGATGGAATCACAAGTTCTACATCTACCCACCTTTCACAATAAACCTTATAAATTACTTAAATCTTAACTATATAATACTACCGATACTAAAATCCCTCGGCGGATGACTTCTTTCTTGAGCCTAAACCTATAAAAAACTAAGTTCCCTCGTCGGTTGTCTTCGTTCTTCAGCTTAGAACTAATATTATCTTAATATTCTAATTAATACGAATTAATGC